TATGCTTTTCTCAATTTACTAATGCAACAATGAAATTTGGCTCTTTTTCAGAGAGGAGCTAGACTGGACTATCTTGTTGGATCATCCTCAACTTGTTCACATTTCCTTTAGTCTGAATGGGGCTTCAGGATTAGTTACTTTTATCTATGTTGGATGTAACAAAGCTTCTAGGAATGAACTATGGTCTATACTCCATTCTCTCAGCATAAATTTGACTGATAGTTGGATGGTAGTTGGAGACTTCAACTGTATTGCTAATTCTGCTGAGAAGGCTAGGGGCAGAACTCCAAGCCTTTCTAAAATCACTAATTTCAGTGACAACATCTAGAAAGCCTGATTATTTGATCTGGGGTTTAGTGGACCTTCCTTCACCTAGAGGAGGGGAAAGATTTGGGAGAGATTGGACAAGTTCTTAGTCAACAGCTGATGGCTTTCAAAATTCCTCCATACTTCAGTCACCCATCTGAGTTTAGTTGGTTCAAATCATAGGCCTCTCTTAATTTCTATTGATGCTCCTCCCCTTGCCCCATCCAACCCTCCACCTTTCAGATACCAAAACTTTTGGTGTGATCATTCTTCTTTTATTGAGTTTGTCACTCAACAGTGGAGAGGAATTTATCATAAAGACTTCCTTATCAAACTCTGGTTACTTTATCTCAAAATCAGCAAAGCCCTCAGACACTGGGGTTGGAACACTTTTGGTAACATGTTTTTGAATGTGGAGATTGCTAAAAAGCAAGTAAAATCTATTGAAACTGATTTCATTAACAATGTTGCTGAAGATAGTTCTCTGATCATTGCCCAAGAAAAGTTACTCGATGCTATTGATTAGCAGGAATCTCTACTTAGCCAAAAAGCTGCCATCAACAAATTTAAGGATGGTGACAGAAATACTAAGTACTTTCATGCTTATATCAAATACAAAAGGAAATGTAACACCATCCATGGTATCTAAGAAGCTGACGGGAATTGGGTGTCTAAGAAAGAAGAGATTGCTATTTAGTTCTTACATAAACTCTCAACTCAACCAGCTGTTGATAGACCCCCCATTGATGGAAATGTCTTTATTGCTGAAAAAACTTACACCAACACTCTAAATATGACCTACACCTCTGAAGAGGAAGAAATCTGGCAGGCAATAAACTCTATTGACAGCACAAAGACTGCTGGGCCAGATGGGTTTACAACAAACTTCTACAAAAAAACTTGGAGTGTCATGAAACATAACCTCATAAAAGGCATCCAAAGCTTCTTCCAGGGAAATCACATTCCAATCTACTTCTATGCTTCTTACTTAGTTCTCATTCCAAAACAAGATGAAAGGAAAAAATGGAACCATTTCAGACCAATCAGCCTCATACCTGTTTTCTTCAAGATTATTAGCAAGATTTTGGTGGCAAGACTCCAACTTCATCTTGGGAGATTGATCAGGCCAAACCAAACTACATTTGTCAAGGGGAGAACAATTGCTAAAAATGTCTTACTTGCCCAAGAACTGCTGCTTGATCTTGATAAAAACTGTAGGAGGGAAATATTATCTACAAGCTAGATATTCAGAAGGCTTATGATAGTATTAGTTAGGATTTCATCATAGAGGTGTTGAAGGTCAGAGATTTCCCTATGGATTTCTGTCAGTTGATTATCAGATGGCTCAATTCCAACAATCACTCCGTTCTACTTAATGGGCAAACTTGGGGTCATTTCACTGCCACCAAGGGGATACCTAAAGGGGATACTCTCTCCCCTACCATCTTCATATTAGCCTTGGACTATCTCTCAAGAATGCTAGACACCTGCCTCCTCACCAACTCTTATGTTAGGTATCATCATAAATCCAATATCTCTATCTCTCATTTGGTTTATGCTGATGATATTATGATCCTGCCACGGGCTAATAAAAATGTTGTTAAAAAAGTGGCTAGTTGTCTTAAACTTTTTCAACAGAACTCTGGCCTTATCTTCAACAATGATAAATGAAATGTTATTTTCAACAAGCACTCTTCCTCCACCAACAGAAATTGGATTCTAACATATACAAAATTCTTTGAACTCACAGGCCCCCTCAAATATCTTAGAGCTACTCTTATTAAAGAAGAGTGAAACAAACCAAATTTGATGAAGTGATTGGAAAAATATCTGACCAGCTGTCCAATTGGACCTTTTTATTCATATCCAATGGGGTAGAATCACACTTCTTAAAAGTATTTACCACATTCCCCTCATACTTATTACAAATTTCAACTATGAAAAAGAGTTCCCAACTTCAGATAGAGAGACTTTTCAACAGATTCTTGTGGGCTGGGGGCAGACAACAACTTCATTGGGCCAGTTGGCAGAGGGTTGCCAAGCCTTTTACTGCTGGTGGCCTGCGTTCAAAGGACTGAATCAACTGCAACAGATCAACTTCTACAAAATGTGGATTAAGTTCAGGCAACATGACTTAATCTGGGCAAAGTATATGAGGGGGAAATATTGTAAAGATGTTCATCCTAACCTAATCAATAAGAGGAATGGAGAATCCAAGATCTGATCCAACATGTTAAAATTCAGAGAGAAGGCTAAGGATCTTTTCATTTGGGACCTGAGGAAAGGAAATATTAACTTTTGGGTGGACCATTGGTGCCCAAAAGAGATGATGAACCCTTCATCCAATGCTCTAAATCTAAAATTCAATGTTTTTAATTGTTGGGAAGATGAAAATTGGTCCTTAGATACCTTAAATTCTCTCGTAAAAGATGGTTCTTCCCAAGCTATCTTCCAGATTATTTTTGATAGATCAAGGAAGGACAGAAATAAATGGATTATCAACAACAAAAATTGTAGCATTTCCAAGTCCATCTACCTAAAGCTTTATAATTGGACGAGGTCCCTTGGGACAAACTCTTA